AAGTTGAGAATCGTGATCGTCAAGATTACCATTCGTCAATTATGTTAGGCGCAGTATCGTGCGTCATAACAAGACTATCACTTCACTAACAGCGCAGATAATAATTAAAATTCAATGAAAAATCAAAGAGTTTCCTATGATTTAGATGAAAATGTTTCGCGGATTGTATAATGGCCTTTCGTTCTTGATAGAAAAAAATTACATTTTATGACTATAATTTCACTAAAGTTTTAGATTAAATTACTTTTTTTTTATAGTTTGATTTGGTTTTAACAGAGTTTCTTAAATACTTCTTTGTAATTGTCCGAACGTAGGGAAACAATTATTAAATGAAACTAAATAAATTCATAAAAACTGTTTTACTCCTTTCATATAACTGATTTTTCTATCTAATTAGTATATACCAATACTAGACTTTAACGGGTTGCTATTTCCTAGAATAAGAGAATTTAAGTATACTACTTTAATGAAATTCTTTTACGCTTCGTATTTTCTCATAAAGGCACTTCCTATACAAGTGAATACTGAATTGATATATTGATCTTTTGAAAAATCATAATCTGAAATTTTATAAAAATATACCTCTCCACCTCGGTTTACAATAATGGTAGTAAAGTAACACACTTTATTATTATATTAATGGAGTAACATTCTTCCTTATTTCGGATCATACATAATGACGTTAAATGGAAAATAATTTTTATTGAAAATAAGAAAAAAATCCTGCAATGTACAATTATTAGTCTATCTTACGATACCATGACTTACCGTTACGTAAAATTCTTTTAATTTTTAATGAAATAAATTTATAATAATATATTTGATGTAATAAAAGATTTGAACTAATTTTCAAATTGTTTTTTAAATTTACAAACCAACAATAGTAGTGAGTTTAAGGGAGAAAATACTTGAGCTCTAATTATGACACAATTAAATTTAATTTCAAATAAATAGCTTTATTATATTTTCTCATCATCCCTCAAATATCAAAAAGATACGTTGTTGCTTATACGACCCGGCTAATTTGAAAAAGAAAACTAGCATATTTACATAACTTATAATTTTTTAATTTTTTTTAAAAAACTCGATAGCTTTTATTTACTAGTAATGGTTCGCAACAAAAATTCTCAAAAAAAAAAGAAATCAGAATTATTTATAACTAATTCAGACTAAATCACCCGCTAAAATGCCAAGAAATAATTGGGCCTGGAAATACCGGATCGATTAACTAATTTAGTAGTGCTCAAGTCGTGTCGGGTTTGGAGAATTTATTTGACTCGACCTGGATAAAAAAGGCATACCCGAAAACTCAACTCGAATAAAAAAAGGAAAACTCGACTCTTGACTCGACCCGAGTATAATTGAATCGTGTAACCCAGGTCAAACTCGGATTTTCGGATCGTAATTTAAAGAAAAATTGATCTACATGATAATGATGGTCGCACAACTAAAACAGTACGAATTTAAAGGATCTATTTTATTAATATACTGTAAACTTTATTTAAAACTTTTAAAAAAAAAATTTACATCATTTAATAATCAAAATTTATTATTATTCAATTTAAAATCAAATTTTATTAATTGCATAAAAATTTTTTACTCACGGACTATTAAGACATCGGACTTCACGATGAGTTTTTGCTTTCTCATTGTCTGGTGGAAGATTTCGCTCGTCAAAGTGATTTTTAGTGAAAAGATCACTACGCGAAGCCTTTCTACGCCGAGTTGGTGGAGTGATTTGTTCAGTAAGGTCAATTGACATTATAACAAGGTTAGTAATGAAATTTCTAATATCGGATGGCTTAACACGAAAAGAAAAGATTTGGTATCAAAAATTAAATAATCATCCGGGTTAATTTGGGTCAAAACCCGGGACAAGGAAATTTATGACCCGACCCGACGGGTCGGGTCATGCGGGTCACGGGTCATCAAAATTCTTAATACCGACCCGACTCGTAAGGTTGAGTCGGGTCAGTTGACCCGGGTTAACTCGAATTTATCGGAGCACTATAATTTAGTTAAAATTTTATTAGCATTTTCATACTTTTTTATATCTCGATGTAATTTAAATGGCAATATTATAGCATCTAAATCATTTTTTCTTAAAATTTAAAGTTATCCAATACGTATTGGCCCAAGAAAATAAAGAGTATTAAACTCCTAAGACTAATACATAAGAAAAATTTTTCCCAATACATGAACATAGCCGCACGGAAAATTACTCGTCCCTATCTAATAATATAAATATACTGTAAACCGTAATATATTAATTTTCCAGCAGAAATCATCTAATTTTAAAACTATGCACGCAAACTATTGACTAGTTTACATCATAATTTCTATAAATTTTTTGATGATATTGTTACAATTATATAATTATTAATTGAAAAATGATGTCTTTGAGAAATGATAATAGCATGTAGTTAAACCGTAATTTTCCCGTTCAAAAATGTCCCCTGCCCTGGCATATGCAATCTGCCCAATATGTCTTCTGGACAATAAATAAATCCTTGATAATTTTCGGATATAAATGGTAGGAATTTTCTTTTTTTAAGTAGCGTTCGACATTCCTAAATAAATAAAAATAGCATTTAGTTGTTTTTTCCCCTTTCCCTTTGCATTTATCATCGAAACGCTAATTAATAAACGTGTCTGATAGTATAGATTGAGGCGATACCTTATTACTTTGTATTTAGATTAGTTTTTGTTATTATAAATAAAATTCATTATAAACATAAACCATCTGCTTACCTTTGTCTTCGTTTACCTTCGTTTTCAACACATAAAATTTAAGACCTACGCATAAATATATAACTTTATATTAATCGAATGCTTCACAACCCCCAAAATTAAAAATATGTCAATGAATTTCTTTTTTTTTATTTAAACTATTCTTTTCTCAATAAATTCAAAAGTTATTTCTTTTATTATAAAAAAATGCCTAGTACTGTTTGAATGAAATTTTTGAAAATTGAAATGATAATCTTCGAAATTACAAATTGCTTTCCTACTGAGTCCAAAGCGATCTTACATAAGTGAAATCATCATTTCAACATCAGGACACGCTTTTTAATTACATAACATTATTCAACTGTCTTTCGATTAATGATGTCGACGATATAATTGAATATTTTCCTGGAAATGGTCAACTTTTTTACCAAATGGATTGACAGAATAAAATCATGGTAATGATACGAGAATTATTCAAAATACTTAATAATCAAATCGCCTTGAAAGTTTACAAATCTATTCAGAATTCATCTCGCACCTCCAATCGTTAATGATAACTCCTGAGAAATCCATCTCAAATGGATAGACCGAGTTGATATCCGTTCAGAGAATTTAAGGTACCTGGATATTAAAAATATTTTGATGTGGATTAAATCAAAGTCAAACGTAAATAATGATCAAACGTTAATTAAGTTGCATATTGAACGAAGTTTACCATTGTTAGCTATTATTTCCAAGCAAACAAAATTTTATTATCATTTTATGAAAAGGACTTTGAAGGTTTTCAACATCTTGATCTTCCATAATTCAAAATCTTAGAATTTGAAAATAAATATCCTGATCCTAAATATCTAACCAAACACTTGGAAAATAATGGAAAAATTTAAAAGTTTCGACCCTGGCAAGATTGGTAATGATTCGTTATAGCTAAAATCTTTCAGAATCTTGATATCTTGAAATCATTAAAAGAAGTTTTGAATAGTAGTAAACTATTAGAGAGCGATACCTTGGTAATGTGGTTTTAAAGGCCGTAGTAAATTATTCAAATGAAAGTTTCATTTGAATAATCAGTGAAAGCTTCACTGATTAAAATTAAATTTTGGTCATTACTTTTATCCGAACCTCAATATTATTGGGTTAATATCTTTTTTTAAAGTTGGGCGAATCTCGTACCTTGTCTTGTAATCCTCTCATTACGAATTTTTTGAATTTGGAAATGGAATAAAATATGACGAAATCATCGAAAAGTTTAATAAAGTTAGACGTTATTAAAGAATTCAAAATCATTAATCTTGAATTAATTTCAAGAAAATAATGCTCGCCCTCTAAATCAAGTTTGCCAAGTTAAAAAGGGCTTCAAAATATTACCTTAACCGGCTCAAAGTCCAGATCTCAATCCGTGTTATATCTATGAATGAGGTCAAGAAGAAAATTATAGAGATTAAAGAAAAGTCGTTTAACCTCGATGTTTATTTGCTTCCCAATAAATACTAACCGTCTAGTACCAATCTAAAAAATTTGGCTCTAAATAAACTGTATGACCTTTATACTTATACTGTAATTAACAAAAAGATGTTCGGTTGGTTATTTATTTTGGATAGTTTTATTAATAACTACTATTAGATAAAACAAATTTGTTTAAAAGATTTTTTTCTCTTGAGATTCCTTTTTCGGCTTGGATCGCTTCCGGAAGTATTAGACTAAATGGTGGTGGCGGTAGCATTTGGAGCCTTAGTTAATGTTATTATTATCTATAATTATATTTATAAAGGGAAATATGGTTAAAATTTTAAATTAACCGATGAATCAAATTCTTAATTTGCAATAAATAAATTAGATGTTATATATTCTCTAATAAATTTATATACAATTTCTTACTTTATTTTATATTTAAAATTCTTAATTACCGTGAAATCGATAACTTACCAAGTTTCAAATGTCGTGACCCATGACAAAATTGAAGTGTAGGAACATATAAAGATTTTTCAACTTATCAAGCAGTTTTTGTTTATTGTAAAGATTTATGATTAATATATATTACATTCATTACGATAATTTTATCATTATGGTATATATAAATATATTTCGTTTTTTGTTAAACCGGCCAATCTTCATCCTTGATAATGTAAATATAATTACGTAACATTGATTGATTATATCATGGTAAACTTACTTTGATATAAATATATCAACCTTTCCTTCTTTTTTACTTTTTATTATATCCACTTTCTTTCGTTCCTTTATTTTTATTTTTATTTTTAAAATATTTACATCATCAAAAATTTATAACCGAATTTACGACTTACTTTAGTCTTTATATAATATCGCTCATAACTTAAAATTTTAAAAATAAATAAAGATAGTCTGTTAAGGCTTGAGTTCTTCATATTGTACTAGGCTTGGGTATATTCGGATGAAGCCGATATGTCATTTAACACGCTTTACTTATTGAAACCAAAATTTGTTTGTTTTTATCCAAACAAATTTTTGCTGAAGGTAAATTAAATTTTCTTTTTGTAATTTTATAAAAAAAAATCAATGATGATCTGTAGCAGGACTTTGAGTCATCAAACATGGCAAGTGGACACAGTTACGACTAGCCTTGGGCATATGGTCGGATGAAACTGATAGATTCCCAATGTCATGTAACATGCGTTGATATGCGTCACAACAAACTGAGATGCCATTTATTTGTTTCACCAAGAAACAAACTTGTAGTATACTAACATGCATCTTTTAATGGACTTTGAGTCCAATTTTCCCTCATAGGAATGATATTCCAACTTCAACAAAAAAAGTTGTAAAAAAATCAAACCTGAAATTTAACGACTGGGTTCAGGATGTATATATATATTTCCTTCAGAATGTGGGATTATCGATCATCCTAGTACGAACTAAATTCGAAAATTTGTATTACCGCCAAATTGAAATACTGTCAACGTGACTTTCGAAAATTTCAAGGTCTTTATTAAAAAATTTGAACTCAAATTCTACCACAGCAATTAAAGGTTAGCTGGCGCTTATGTTATGCAAAAAATGGACGAGCAAATTAAAATCTTCCTATTGATTATTTAGGTCTACTTTATAAGTATCCTCGTTAGCTTACAGCATAATTTTTGATTAATAACGTTTAAAAATTCATTGTATTTCTTTACTGATTCCTTCATCCTACTTTAATTTTTTATTTTTTTGTTGTGAACTTAATAAAGCATTTCTTCTTGATGAATTTCAACATTTTCAATAAGTGATTTACCACTTTGCTTTCCGAGTTAAAAAACCCGTTTTGGTTTCAACGGTTAAAAAAATAATCCCTTTATTTAAATTTTTTATTTGTTATTAAAATCTAGCGTTGCTAAGTAAGTTCTTATAAGTTTATATTTATAAACGAAAATGAGGGAAATATAAGGTCTTATTTAGTAATAATAATGCAAGAATTTATTTAACAATATCAATTTATCAAGTCGCCTCAACATCGCCGCTCTGACTTCCGAAGTCTAATTAATTCAATAAAACAAACTGCGGCTAGTTAAGATTATTTTAAGGGGAAAATCAAGCAATTTCTAAATTAAAGATGCAATGCTATGTTGATCAAGAATCCATCATTTTTATTTCTTCATTCCAAGACAACAAACTTGCTCACATTTTGATCGTTGATCGCCCAATCTATTAATGCGAGATATATATAAACTTGATTTTTTCAAGATACAGTTTCACAAAAATACATTTCTCTTTGGACCGATTCGGTTCATAATCCTAAGGACGTTCCTAAAACTGAACTTGAATTGGTCTGGACCAAAATTTAAGTTCCGGAACGGATTTATTAGATGGTGTCTTATTTCATATGGGAACTTTTCCAGTAAAATAAAGTCATGAGGCATAGTAAATCATATGAAAAGCTCCCATATTATAAATCAAAAATTCATTTTAATATCATCACTCAACGATTTTCTGATAATTTTCAAAGTATTTGTGTCTCAACAAGCTCGTTAAAACCTTTTCCGATATCTTTAATAACCTCATCGCTTAAGATGG